GTACAGAATGGCCACGAGGTAGTGCCTCCTTCTAGGGCTGTCGGGTGAGCCGGCAAACCTAGATCAAGCTGATGCTGGGCTTGCGCTGAGTGCGATATCAAGGCAGTTAGCCAGCGCCATCGCGTTCGTTGTACAAGACAGCCCGCTTCCTGAACGCCACTGAACTTCCTCTCCACACCCACGCTGGCTCAGACTCTTTGTGACTAGGCGAGAAGTCAGGAGCACTCTTCCTAGACAGCCACTCACTGTTGCAAAGTATTTTTTTTACCTTGAGCAGAAATCTGTCTGCCTCTAGCGTCTCCCATGGGTAATGTTGCCATTTTAGCAAATAAAAATGTAACAGGAGGTCCATGATTTGGGGAAACACATATAAAAAATTCTCTGCTGTTTGTTGAAATTAAAATTTAGCTGGGAATTTTATATATTGTCTGGGCCTCTCCATAGCCCTTAGTCAGACTCCTGGGGACAACACAGAAAGACTGTTCACATCTTCCTCTGACAAATGCGTCCTCCAACGCCATCAATAAATTGTCATATGCCAAATGGTTCTCATTCCCCTGCCTCCTCTCACCCTCCATCACCTGGACTATCTTCTTTGGACTAGTTTGTTAGTCATCTTTTATAGTTCCCAGGCACGGCCTGATGAAGACAGCAGATCAGTATGATCACCTCCTTTGTTATAAACCATACACTTCTCTAAATGTACCCTTGGCTCGAATTTTTTTGCACTCACACTGTACTGCTGACTCCTAACGAGCTAGTATTACTCTAAAGCCAAATTATATGTGTGCATGACTGTCTCCAGCGAGACTCATGATGGTGAGAAATGACAAAATTCAGGAATCTTGGTCTCTTATGTTAAAAAAAAAAAAATCTTGTACCCTCCACAAGCACAGTTCCAGAACACATTCACCACGTACCCCTCCCTACAAGAACCAGCCCGGAAACCCCATCCACAGGAAGGCTAGAACTGCTGAAGTTAGAAATCTGCCCACCTTTCTTAGGTGAAGGAGCTGCTTTTCTGTTGGTGTGGGGGGACGACAGGCATTCAGACGATGGATGAGCTTCCGGTTCTGGGAGGGCCTGGGACGCCGATGGCTTTGGGCTGCTCTCGGGGCTCAACTGCTTCTGAGGGCTGGATTGCTGTGTGGTGCACTTGGATGGTTGCGTTGTGGACTGGGGGCTGGGATGGGTGCTCTCAGAGCTGGGCTGCTGGGAGGTGCTAGAGTCGGAGCTGCCCCGTGGAGAGATGGACGAGTCCCGGGGTGGTCTGGCCTCGGACTTTTTCTTCTTGCTCTTCTTCATGGTGTTTCTTCTTAACCTAAACTTGAACCTACATGGAGCTGCCTAATCTTTGGGCTCCCTCTTAGAGGGGCCGTCTGCCCCTGCCCTCTGCCCTAGGTGTTCAGCCCTGGTCTCTGACTGAACCCAGGTCCCAGAGAACAGTCACTTATACCCCCTGTGAGGTCACAAAAGCCAGGGTGGCTCCCACAGCCAGGGCTCCGGGACAGTCTTCTGTGCAGGCACCAACCTGGTATCCCTGTTCTCCCAGCTGCCAGGGTAGGCAGAGGGCTGCTTCTGCTCTGCCCCTGCAGGCCTGGTTTAGCCTGGGGACCTGTGACAACTGGACCCCACGATTCTGCGGCCACAACACCACCTTCAGGCTCTTCATCACGGGTGTGTTCCTTGGTCCAAGTGACCTATCTCTTTCGCTCTAAGACACCCTTGATGGGACACTCAGCTTTATCACCCATTTCCACATACAAAAGCAGAGACACAAACATCCATCTTCACTCTGCCTTTAGGAAGCTTCGTGTAACTTTTCTGAAGATTTGGGGCTTCTCTGAGCACTTGACCTTCCACAGCCCCCAGCCCCTATCATTTCTGATTAGCTTCCCCAGCCTCCAAAGCCTGCTCTCCTCCAATGTGGGAGGGGAGCTTGTGGGCTGTTCCAACTTTTAAAAGAAGCTTTGAATTTTTGAAAAATTCTCTCTTAAAATCTATCTGCTGCTCAGAACACAAACATTTTTCTCAAACTCATTACAGTGGCAAAACCTGAGGGGTTACTCCCAAACCCGCATGGGTTGGGTCAACAGACTATGATCTTCATCTACATTAACGTGATTTTCATTTTAGGACAGAAGAGGGGAAAGCATTTTGAATCGACAAGCTCAGTTTCACACTTTGCAACGCGAGTCACGTTCACAGAGGGGACAGAACTTGCTGCAGGACGCATCGATCCGCAGGTGAGAAAACCAGGCCTACCCCAGCCTGTAGCCCCCCGGGGAGGATGCTCGTGCCCACCACAAGGTTTGCTCAGAGCTAGTTAGACACAAAGGATTCAAAGGGGTCCAAGGCCAGACCCAAGCCAACTGTAAAACTACAGAGAACCTGTTCTAGGGCTTCCAGAGCCTGCAAAGACTTTAATGGTTATCTTTTTGAAGAAGAGGACATTGATGTTTAGAGAAGTTAAATTACTTTTGAAGATTAATTGGAGGCATGGACAGGGCTAATTTTAGTTCAGGGTTCTGTCTTTTCATGACCCAAGAAGGCAATATGGAATCAGATAATTACATAAGCTTTAAAATCAACGAATTAAAAAACTAAAAACATTTGCAAATTCCTTGAATGAGAAGATTGAAGAAACCAAACACAAGCATGAAGGATGACGAGTGGAGGGAAGCTCAGATCAGTAGTGTTTGTTGTATTTGGTTGACGCTGGAGTAAGGAGGGAGCAGGGGAATCCACAAGACAGCAGTGATTCCCTGAAGTCAGGAGCAATAGTTCTCTTTAGGGGATTCCATTTAGAACCAGAGAGGTTGGGGACCTAGCCCAGGGACCCCACTGGGATTAGCATACAGGTCAGGAAATCCCAAGGGATTTAATTCTACAAAATTGGATTTTCAGGCACCAGTGGGCTTGGATTGTGGGCCTCCACCCAGTTGAAATCAGGGTTTCTCAACTTGGCTTTACTGACATTTTGGGCTGAATAATTCCTTGTGTGGGAGGCTTTCCTGAGCATTGCAGGAAGTTTAACAGCATCTCTGGTCTTGACCCACTAGCACCTCCCTTTGCCCATGACAACCCCAAATGTCTCCAGACATTGATAAATGTCCCTACCAGTAATCAGGAGTGTCAACATTGTCCCTGGTTGAGAACCGTTAGTTTAAATGAGTCAGATGGGGGTAGATATACACAGGTAGAATTTTCTGGTAGCGATGAAGGAGATACTCCATTTCATCCGAAGAAGTCAAACAGGACACACGTCTCTGTTCCCAGGAGGGAGATGGAGGAAACACAAAGGGCAAGCTAAGGAGTGTGTCTATGGCTATGGAGAAAAAAAATGTGTGGGTTCTTTACTACGGTGGTCCCCAGAAGCAGGGAGAGGCAGTCATAGGATGAGAGCTGTTCCAGAAGAATGCACAAGAATAGCACAGCAATGGGTCCTGGCCAGGACACTGTCTCTGCCTGAGCACACATTCCCTGCCAGGGAGCCTGGCTCCTCTATAATATGGCCACAGCCTACTGTCTCACGCCTGGTGCCACCATGCTGCTGCCTCTGTCCAACTCTAGCCAGCTGGGAGGAGGTCTCGTGAACATGCCTAACTTTCCCACATTTGTAGAAGTACTTTCCCTCCACCACCTCCTCCCATCTCTGTCAGACTTTCCGTGGCCAAGATCCCCCTCAAGGGGATCCAGCTCTTCATAAAACCTTTCTTGAGATCCCCAGCAGAAAGCCATGGTTTCTTCTCTGAGCCCCAGAGCACCTGTTTGTGCGTCACATCCTGCGTGGGTTAGGATTATGTCTTGCCTTGTCTCCTTTCTTCTTCCCCAGCCCCTGACTGTGGAGATCAAGGAGAGTCAAAGCCAGCAGGGGCTCAATGCAAGCTGCTTAAATTGAACTAGGGGGAAGGCAGAGGACAGGGATGGGGACCAGGTGAAGGAAGGGTGGGAAATGAGGACAAGGAGCCTGAAAGACTTTCATCACTATGGGCTATTTCCAAAGACCCACCAGGTGTTTCTGACCTTTGCCGAGGATCACAGTTGGGAGAGCCAATAGGTAGGGAGGGGGCTTTCCCAACAGCCAGTGCGGGCCAAGTGAGACTCTTCCAGGCTAAACTTAAAGGGAGTGAGAGGAACGAGTCTAAGCAGATGTGAAGTTAGGTGCCAGGGCAAGAACTGAGGTTGTTAAAATCCCATCCACCCAGAAGGCCTCTTGGATGTGTCCTGGGCTCTCAGGCAAAACATGCCACCATTTGTCCTGAAACTCTTCAGGCTAGATGACATCTCAGAAAACAACTGGCCTATCACCCTCACATGTCACATAGGAGGGAACCTTCCACAAAGAAGGCACCCACCCTACCCAGAGAGCTTCCCTAGTCCCTTCTGCTTCCCTAAAGAGTCCACTAACTAGTCCTCAGGCTGTGGATTAGTTTGGGGGCCACAGGCCCAGCTCCCTTGCTCAGAAAGGTCTGGAGGGTTGCCAGGAAGGTCAGCTAGCCCTGGAGTTCCATCCTGGAGGGAGGCTGTGAGGATCGGAAGTGCAAAGCTCGATAGGCTTGTTTTTATTGTAATTGTTATTCCATGGAGGAGGAGACTAAAGAACCCCATCAAAGAACAGAGGAAGCAATCAGTGCTTGTGGAGAGGAAGGGTGGGCTGTCGGTCCTACAAATCCCCAGTGTGAACCTTACAAAACCGTAACTGCCAGTAGTGGGAAACGATGCCCCAAGCTGTGGGAAGGGCCAGTGTAGCCCACTAAATTAATTCAAACGCTTTTAGATTGCCTCAGCGAAGACACCTGGGGGTAAGAACTCTGGTTCATCACTCAAAACCGTACCCAAAATTGCTAGAGGCGCCAGAAGAAGAGCTGTGAAGTCGGGGGTTTGTCCAAACTCAGCGGGGCACCAGGGTCAGGGGACCGAACTCTGTATTTGAGCGCCCCAGCCCCCCATCCCTGCACCCGCGGCAACCGGATGTTCCCAGCCCTCGGGCCCCTCACCATCCATCTGCGTCCCCCGATCCGCTAAGGGAACCTTGCGCACTTGGCTGGCGGCGCGCTGGAAGTCCAGGACGCCCTGGGGGCGGCCGGGGCAGAACACTGCGGTGTGCACCTCGACGGCGGGGTTGTGCTGCGCGAAGATGCCGCAGAGCAGGTTCTCCAGGAGGCAGCGCGCCTCCGCCTCCTCGTCCGGCTGCGGCTGTACCAGGATCCCGATGAGCGCGGCGGGTGGGCGGGAGTCCCGGGCGCGCACCTGCTCCAGGACCAGCTGCAGCCGCGGAAGCTGCGTGCACAGCGCCGACGCGCGGCACAGCACCAGAAGCAGCTGCGCGCCCTGCTCCGGCGCTGTCCGGGGCTTCCCCACCGCCCGGCAGCTCGTGGCCGGGTTCTCCGAAGCCGCGGGGCCGGAGGTCCTAGGACTGGTCCCAGGCGTCTCGGCCTCGCGTGGATCGGCGTACTTGCACCGGCTTCTCCCCGCCTTCTCCGCGGAGCGCTTGGACTTTGCGGCCGGGTAGTCGGCGTTGTTCTCGGAGTTGTCCGTAGAGCTGTCGCCGGAGCGCTTAAGTCCCCTCCTGGCGCAGTTACTGGTGCTGTGGCCTGTGGTGGCTCGTGTGGACGAGGACCTGGTGAGCTGATGGGTTGAGGCCTGCTCTGGAAAGTTCTGCAGATCCTTGCAGCAATCGTCCTGCTTCCAGAGCTCTCTTACCAGCAGCACCCGGCCGCGGCCCTCGATAGACTGGGCTAGAATCTCCTGCTGCGCCTCAGAGCTTTCCCGGGTCACGGAAGGCTTCGCCCTGGGCCGCTGCTCCATGTTGGTCCGGCGGCTCCCTTGCCCCCAATGGGCTTGGACCTCGGTTGGCCAAGGGAAAAGCTGAGCATGTCACAATACCCCTGCGCCTTACCTCTTCCTGTCATGGTCAAGGGCCTCCGCCCCCTTGTTCCTTGGAAATCTTCCAACACAGGGGAGTTGCTGTTGGATGCTAGTGTAACGCGAACTCTGTTTAATTTCTCCATCATTCTGTATGTGTGTAGTTTTAAAAGGTACATCCTTTTATCCCGTGGATAGACCTTTTATTGCTCAAGCCTTCAAGTAAAACGGATTTTTGTGCACCTGTGGTGTTTAAAAAAGGTGTACTTCTGTTCCTGGAACTTATGGAAGGCCCTTGAGGAACAGAGTGGCCATTCTGGGTGGCTGCAGCCTGGCAGACAGGTCTGGTTGCACCCAGCCTGGCTCCTCTCTGGGTAATCTGGGAACCAGCGTCCTGGACTATTTATTATAAACCCATGGGGTTGCAGGACATTTGGGTCCTTTCATTTCTTGTCTTGTGTGGCTACTAGAGTCTGGTCAAAATGTCAGCCAATATTTTCAGCAATAGAAAACAAAAAGCAAAAATTCCTTAGCTGCCCGGCACATGGGGTGAGCAGAGGGAGCTTGGGGAGGTGGGATAGAGGGACCTGGGACAACGGCTGAGACTGGGACTCCAATGGTGGGGGAAGTTGTCCCTTTGTTAATTTCTAAGAAAATGTTAAGTTCTAAAATATTTTTTGAAAAAGCATACAAATAAGACTAATAAATCAGTTGGTCAACTGTAAACCTGTGAACTTAAAACCCCAAAACCCCAGACTATGGAGCTGGTTCCCTAGTGAAAAGTGAGGATGGGCGTTCATCCAGGATGGCAGCCCCACCAGACAGGTGTTGTCCTTTCTGCAGGCTGAGCTGAGCATGGGGGTCTCAAGTTGAGACTACTGTGGGAGGCAGGAGCCCTACACATGCCTTCATCTTTGCCTTCTAAACCAGCTTTTATCAGAGTCTGAAATTGGGAAAACCAGATCAGAATGGAATAGAGACTCCTCAAACATTGCCTTGAACTGCTCTGTTACCTCTGAAGGGCAAAGGTAGACCAAAGTCGGCCTGTGGGTGGTACTCTGCTGCTCATGGTCAGTTCAACTGCATTTGGACAAAGTTCTCCAAAGTCTGACATCAGCCCCTGGCACACTAAGCCACATCACGGCAGGGGGGGGGGCGGGGGGAGAGAGAGAGGACACCCCTCAGTTCCCAGCTAGCAGAAGGATGAGAAAGCAGACATCAGGGAGTGGGGGGAGGCAGCCTTCTGTCCTGGGAGTGACTTGGAATTAGGAGTGTTGTTTTCATTCATAGGCCATGTGACCAACCCCACCTGCAAGAGAGGCTGGGAAATAGAACTTGGGTAGTCACACACCAAATTAATTAGCCCTTGGGAAGGGTTGAGCAGAAATCCAGGAACATTTAACAGTTTCTCGTTTGTGTCAAATAATTGCCCCTATTTCTGTGGGGGTCCCCCTGTGTTTGGGTGTATTACATCTTATCTTTTTACAACCCAGAAATGGAGATAGCAGCCTTCCCAAGTTACAGACATCGAAATGGAGGCTCAGCCTGGTTAAGTAACTTGTCCAAATTCAGGCAGCTAGTGAGTGGTGGGTCTGGGATTTAGACCCAGGCCCAACTGGCTGCTATTCTTAGATGCCTGCCAGGCCACAGTACCTTGACTCCCTGAGGCAGGCAGTGGGGCTGACTCTCCATCACACACTGGTTTCTGGAAATTAATATTGACTTAAGATTGGGGAAAGAGACTTAGGGAGGGAAGAGAGAGAAATGTGGGAAGAGGGGCACCTAGGAGCAGCCCCCAATTGTTTTAGGCTTTTGGATTGAAAAGACTTCTGGGTCTTAAGAGTTTTAAGGTCACAATGAGATTGGGCTGGGAATTTACATTTAATTGAATGAGTAATTCTTCTTTCCATCTTTTACTGATTAAAAAATTTTAATAAAATATTTTCAAAATAAAGGACTTCAAGAAGAAAAGCGTTTGAGAAGACAGGAGTCCTCTTACCATTTTGAATTTCATAAAAGCAATTATTTCCAGTTTTGGAAAGTCAAAAAGGTCCTGCTTGGATGAAAGACTGACCCAGAAGTTTGTAAGCTGAGGAGTGAGAGACACACCTGAGAGGGTCCCCAGGCTTCGCTCCCATTTGAGCCACTTGCCCTTGTATTTGGAAGTCACATTGGGCTACCCGAGACATTTAACTTGATGAAGGGATTCTGCTGATAATGTGTGGACACTGCTGAGCTAGACCAAACTAAGTCAGGTTATAGATAAATTTTATAATTTTGAAAATTATTTAATTACCTTAAATTATACAGAGGTACTTGGCTAGGTAAAACAAAATATATTGTGGCTTGCATTCTACTCTTTTGGACCACTGGGGAATGCCATATTATGAGGATACTCCTGGAGCCCAAAGGAGAGCAAGCCATAGGGCAAGAAGCAGAGGCTTCCTGCCATCAGTCATTGATGGAGCTTTCAGTTCTGTTCAATCTTTTAATAACTGAGATTGGCTTATATCTTGTCTGCAGCTTGTGAAAGACCTGAGCTAGAATCACTCAGTTGAGCCACTCTCTTAACTTCCCTTCCTTCCTTCCTTCCTTCCTTCCTTCCTTCCTTCCTTCCTCCCTCCCTCCCTCCCTCCCTCCCTCCCTCCCTCCCTCCCTCCCTTTCTTTCTTTCTTTTGTTTTTTTGGTGTGTGTGTGTGTGTGTGTGTGTGTGTGTGTATTGAGGATTGAACTCTCAGGGGCACTCAACCAGTGAGCCACATCCCCAGCCCTATTATTTAGTATTTTATTTAGAGACAGGGTCTCATTAAGTTGCTTAGCACCTCGCTTTTGCTGAGGCTGGCTTTGAACTCGAAATCCACCTGCCTCAGCCTCCTGAGCTGCTGGGATTACAGGTGTGCGCCATTGTGCTTAGCTAATTTCTGATCCTTGGAAAGGGTATGAAATGAAATTGGCTTAGACTAATAAATTTGGAGGTTATTTTTTACACAGCAAGAGGTAACTAATAGAGTCATCATTTTTACCCCCCACTACAACCATTGTAGGATCTCTGTTTTATAAAGAAAAAGACGGCCAGGTGCAATGGCACATGCCTATAATTTCAGCTACTTGAGAGGTTGCTGCTGGAGGATCACAAGTTCAAGACCAGCATGTGCAATTCCGCAAAATAAAATGAAAAGAGCTAGGGATGTAGCTTGGTGGTAGAGGGCTTGCCTAGCATGTGTGAGGGCCCTGGAATCCATCTTCAGTATTGGAAAAAAAAAAAAAAAAAAAGGAAAAGAAACAGACCTTGGAGGTTATATAATTGCTGTGGTCTGTGGAAGGCAACGTAATGGCCCCTCAAAAATGCTCACATCCTAATCCCTTGGTCCTAAGAATATGTTAGGTTATCTGGGAAAGAGGAAGTGAGGTTGCAGATAGAATTATGGTTGCTAATCCTGATTTAAAAATAGATTGTCGCCCCTTCTGCGCGGTGACGCTGAGCCAGCGCCCAGCCCGGGCCTGGGAACGTGCCGCATCCGCCTCCGCCTGCCTCTCCTCGACCCTGGATCCCCGCAAAGTGAGCGAGCTTCGGGCCTTGGTGAAAATGTGTAAGCAGCGTCCTGCACACCAAGGAGATGCGCTTCCTGAGAGTGGGTGGAGAGCATGGGGGGCATAAACCTAAATCAGAAGAAAATACCAAGGAAGAAAAAACAGATAGCAAGAAGTCGGAAGAAAACATTAAGAGAGACGAGCCATCAAGTGAGGAAAGTGATCTAGAAATTGATAATGAAGGTGTAATCGAGCCAGACACTGATGCTCCTCAAGAAATGGGAGATGAAAATGCGGAGGTAACCGAGGAGATGATGGATCAAGCCAATGAAAAGAAAGGGGCCGCCACTGAAGCCCTGGACGATGGTGAACTACAGAAAGCCATTGACTTGTTCACAGAGGCCATCAAGCTAAATCCTGGCTTGGCCATTCTGTATGCCAAGAGAGCCAGTGTCTTCATCAAATCACAGAAGCCAAATGCTGCCATCGAGACTGTGACAGAGCCATTGAAATAAATCCCGATTCAGCTCAGCCTTACAAGTGGCGGGGGAGAGCCCACAGACTTTTGGGCCGCTGGGAAGAAGCAGCCCATGCTCTTGCTCTTGCCTGTAAACTGGATTATGATGATGATGCTAGTGCAATGCTGAAAGATGTTCAACCACGGGCCCAGAAAATTGCTGAACATCGGAGAAAATGGGAGCGAAAACGTGAGGAGCGAGAGATCAAAGAAAGAATAGAAAGAGAAGAACATGAGAGAGCCCAGAGGGAGGAAGAAGCCAGACGACAAGCAGGAGCTCAGTTTGGCTCTTTTCCAGGTGGCTTTCCTGGAGGAATGCCTGGAATAGGAGGGGGCACGCCTGGAATGGCAGGAATGCCTGGGCTCAATGAAATTCTTAGTGATCCGGAGGCTCTTGCAGCCATGCAGGATCCAGAAGTTATGGTGGCCTTCCAGGATGTGGCCCAGAACCCAGCAGATATGTCAAAATATCAAAGCAACCCAAAGGTTATGAATCTCACCGGTAAATTGTCAGCCAAATTTGGAGGTCAAGCATAATGCCCACCTGACAAAACCCTTACTGAAGGAAAAGCAACCTAGATCACCTAATGGCTGTCGCAGTAATACAAACCAGTGTACCTGTGACCTCATCAGGAGAGCTGGGGTGCTTTGAAGATAATCCCTACCCCTCTGCAGCAAGTCCAGCCGAAGCATTTTACAATGGTTTGCCATCAGGGTGTTCATTCAGATAATGTTTTCCTACTAGGAATTACAAACTTAAAACACTTTTTAAACCTTAAAAATATTTAAAACTCAAGGGGGTGTTATTTCCTACATTTTTATTTACTAATCATTTTGGATTTTTTCTTTGATATTGGGCAAGGCAGATACTAAGTATGGAAAATACATAGCTGTAACGTGAGTGAAATAAAGACTTACTAGTGGGAAGTAAATAAATCTCATTTACATAGATAAAAGTTTTAGTTGAATATATGGTTACTGAGACTGAGGCATTTTTGATTTGTCATTTAGAAATATTTTTTAAATGATTAATTTCAATAAAACTATTGGGAACACCAGTATTTCACTCTAACCTGGGTAGGGACTGGAAGTACTTGGTAAGGCAGCAGCAGTCTTACTACTTTATATGACATGTGCCCTTATGCAGGCTGCATTTAAATCTTACACTGTGTTGAAGAGGTGATTTATTTATTTATTTTTTTGTTATGCTGCAATGGAGTTGGATTACTTAGCTCAGTTTTTGTTCAATATATCAAATCAATGTTTCATATTATTTCCACCATGGGGAAATAAGGGAGTAGTCTTCTTTTTATATTCTATGTTTAAAATTTACCTTTCCTCATCAGAAAATGACCAACTATGTCTGCTTTCTGCTTCTTGCATTTTCCTCCTTCTTGAACTAAAGATAATCTTTTCTCACTAGCATCATCACTGCTATCATACCATAATTGTGCAAAGCATATTTAATGCTGGGGTTAATTTAATATGTAATACATATCCTAGCTGTGGAATAATACCCGTAAGAACTGTAGTTCTTTCTTAGCCATGAGATTGCTTATTTAAATGTTATTAGACTTCCACTCTGGCAAAATCTTGTGATGTCAAAAAACATTGGAAGGAAGGATTCCTTTTAGTGTTTGGTGTTCTATTTAGGAAGTGCCTATTGATCTTTGTATTTTGAAGAGTATATGGTTTGAGTTATTGGTAACCATACAAGGAATTAACTGCTTGATCTAACATGAATTCTAAAATAGATGAGAGCCTGGTTATATTCATTATGGAGTTCTTGGCACCATGAAGATTCATTATTGTATTCAGCTCTTCCTTAAATACTGCGACCATACCCCCACCTCTTTTTCCCTTTTGTCCCTGCAAAGATAAAGGAAATGATAAATTCCTTGGAGTGCATTTATAAAGTAGTACATTTCTAATATATTCATACAGGTTCTAACCCTTTACTGTACATGAGTAAACAGAACTGCATCTGTTACAAAAATGAGAAAAAGTCGTATGCTAATGGAGCATGCTTTTAAACCCCTTGGAAAAAAACACCATTTATACTTGGATTTGGGCTTGCCAGTGGTTTTTTTTTTGTTGTTGTTGTTCATGTATGTTCTCAAAATCTAATGTGTGCTGTGCTTAACTCAAGAAGAACAGTTTCTTCTTGGATTCCTGATTTGATTGTCTTAACTATACATGACCTAACTATACTCGAATATTACGAATATAAATGGGTAAAAGTAAATCACTCTTCTGAAAATGTGTCCTGTGCTTTTAGACTTTAAGTTCCACAATACAACAGATAGTCTTCATTTTCTTAGAGACCCAGTATCATTTCTAAAAACCAGAAATGTTCTTTTTTTCTGCTAATGATGCTATAAGAAGGAAAAGAAAGTTTTCTGCTTAAAAATATATAGTTATCGCATATTTCTAGCTATGTTAAAAATAAAATATGGTTTCAAACTGGAAAAAAATAAAAATAGATTGTCCTGGATAACCCAGGTGGGCTCAAGTGTCCTTAAAAGGGGGGGCAGAAGAATGTCCAGGTATGCTTTGAAGATGGAGGAGAGAAGCATGAGTGGGCTGGGAGGGGGGCCATAGAAACTTGTAAAGGGGGGGAGGAATGGATTCTCTCTTCCATCTTCAGAAAAGGCCCCGGCCCTGCTGATGCCTTGATTTTAGCCCAATGAGAGAGTTAAGTTCAACCTACAGAACTGTTAGTTAACAAATTTGCATTATTTAAAATTACTAAGTTGTATAAATTTGCAGCCGTGAGAAACATAAAAAGTCCTATAGCTAGAAAGTACAGAGCAAGGACTTGCCCTCTACCCTCCCACTCACCCCTAGCTCCCAGATGTTGAAAACGCTCACCTTTTCTGTTGCACTTGTCATTTGCTCAGCACATGGTTTTTGAATGCCTGTGATACACAAGCCATTTGAGCGCATCCTATAAGGCCATAATGGTGACCCAGCAGGCATAGCCATGTCTTCTTGTCCGTGAAGAGGTTGCCATCTAGTGGCGAAGTGACAAATTGATCCTCACAGTAACTACTGCTTTCACATCCTGTGTGACAATAGGAGCTTTGCAGAGAAGTTCAAGCTATATCCAAGGCCATGTCCAAGGCCACTTTGCTGGTGAGTGAGGAGTACCAGGGAAGGGGTTGGAACCCCACAGTCTAATGCCTGCACTGCATCTATAGCCCCCCCCTCCCCCAGCAAAATCCCACTTTGCTAACTTGCAGAGTTGAGACTGGTTCCTCCCCAGGATTGTCACAAACAGAACTCAGAGTGTCAGCATTCCTGGTGATAAAACCAGGGAAGGTACAGGAAGGACTGTTGGGCCTAGTGGGGAAGAAAAGAGTCATTCAGGGAGTTACAGTTATCTCCTCATGTCTAAAAGTCTTACATTATAAAGAACTGGACAATTAAGAGCACTGTCTGCCGTGAAAGGGTATCCATGGGGCTGGGCTGTGGCTCAGCGGCACAGCACTGGCCTAGCATGAGTGAGGCCCTGAGTTCGATCCTCAGCACCACATAAAAATAAATAAATAAAATAAAGGTATTGTGTCCGTCTACAACTAAAACATAAATATATAAAAAAAGATGTTCATGGGATGTTGTTAAATGGGGAAGTTAAGTTGCAAAACAGTCATACTTTACGAATTTCACACACTTTTGGGGTAACAAAAAACTGTCTCAGTGTGTTAACTAAGGCATAACTAGGTTAAGGATATAGAGTTTATAGAGTTAGCCAATAAGAATACAGGGAAGCTGGTTAAATTTGAATTTTAGATCAATTATGAATAGTATTTTAGAATAAGCACACCCCATGCAATCATCTGAAATCTGAATTTAACTGGCTGTTTGTCCTGTATTTTTATTTGGTGACTTGTTGTGGTGTTTTCTTTTTGTTCACTTATATATATTTTTTATGATAAATATATATTACTTTTTAAAAATATTTTTAAACTTTATTTTAAAACTCATACATAGAGCCGGGTCGAGGTGGTGCTCGCCTATAATCCCAACAATTTGGGAAGCTTTAAGTATGAGG